CGTTTTATTCTAGTGTTACGACAATATACTAAACAAAAGAGGATTTCAATGTTGACTGTAAAATAAATTGAATGATGTTACCCATTTTACCATTGTTCATAAAATCATTATTTGAAACATAACTAGTTGTGAATACGATGTCATAAATAGTGTTTTTTCTATGAGGAAAGAGTTTATTTTACATGAGAGTGAGTAGTGATTAAAAAGCCACGGTGACAAAGTACAACTCACAATTCGTATCTCTGTGAAGTGGCCTTCAATGATGTTAGAAATTTAGCTTTCATAGAGTAGTATACATTTATAAGATAGTTATCTGCGGAAAGTTTATTCTAAAACAGAAACAAAGTGATTTTTTTATTATTTTCAAAGTTACTGTTTTATTAAATGAAGGAAATCGTAATCGTACAGATATTTCAACATATCAACTTTCATTTCTTTAAATGCAGACGTCATTTCATTGAAATTCAATGGTAGGTACCTAAAATAACGACGAACAACTGACTGATATGGTGGATCATTTTTTTAGGAGATCAACTAAAACAATACTGGCAGCAAATATGAACTATGTAAAAAACGATGCATACTAAGTGATAGTCCATTTCAAAACGATTAGTGCTTTTTTATATTTTCACAATCATCAACATTCTGTTGGTGACAGTATAACATACACTGGACAAACATGAAACAAACAATTGTGTAAACCATAAACAATTTGATCTTTTGAAGACTGATCTTCGTATGTTCGAAGATTTGAGGTATATTAAGTGGAATAGCTTAATGGGAGACTTTCATTTCTAATGTTGCACAACTGCCTTAAAACAGTTACTGAAATGATTGTAATTATTAAGGATACCCAGGACACATTGAAATAATTTCTCTGAATGATAGCACCTCTGAAGAATAATGTGTGAGAACAAGTGAAGTTTCTTTTACTCTCTATATTTCTTTCTTATGAAAAGTCTCAAATCAAAGTGCAATTAACAGACGAAACAAATAATTGTCAATCAGTTTTTAATAATGCCGTCGAAAGTGAATTGTGAACAAAATAACTCAACGACATGTCATTAAAGATGAATACGCGAAACTGAGAATTCAATCAGTACCTCCATAAGAAGAACAAACATCTCAATTACAACGCATTTGAAAATGAAGCTTTCTTTTTAAAAATTAGTATCACTTCGATAAACTCCACCCATGCACAAGTAATTATTGAAATTTATTCGTTTACTCATAGGCGTTAATGAATGTCTGTGATTGTATCCAAATGACCTTAATACATCTAAGATAGATATTTCAGTTTCGGTTCAACGTGTAGGATAATTCATCTATATACCTTTCCATTCTTTCCGTACTCTTTGTTTCAAGTTTTCTCACTTAAGTCCGGAAAATACGATTGTTTACAATACAGCTTACATGAAAGAAACACTTCGTGTCGACAATGTAAGACTAAGGGAGGCGAACGAAATAGGCTCTTTTAAGTGAAATAGTTGTAGAACGTAAAAAAGGGACGTTAGCAATTGAAATCTTCAAGACAAACACCAAGACGTCTAAATGATATAGACAATGAATACGCTACCCAGAATGAATCAATAAAGCTTCGCAAATGAACCATCTAGCTCGACAGACGTGGAACTTCAAACTATGGTGATATATAGCTATATATGTTTATGCTGTTCTTTCGATAAGTTGGAAATAATTACATGAGTTGCATGATGAACAGAATGATAGCAAAACTAATATTTTCTCAATGGTAAACACTGAGTTATCTATTGAAATGAGTCATTGATCTTTAAGTTAAGGAATAATAAAATATTTAGTGTTACACTTGAGGAACGTACTTCGAGTATTTTATCTCGGCCTTCGTATCCCTCACTCAAAAATTCTGAATCCATTAGTAATACTTTGATATCGGAAACCTGAATAATACAATCGGTCATTATTCACACTATCAAAACTAAACAAACCGTTGAAATAGCTTTTTGTTTGTCATCTTCACTGCTCCATGAGCCTTGAGACAATAATTCAGTCAATTTGCGCTTCATTTCGTCAAACATTTGAATCACCTATTTAGTATAAATAGATATAACGATTAAAGTGCCCAAGTAAAAGAATACACGTTATCATGAATTGTTCGTATTTTATCACATAACTGTAAGGCAGTTAGAAAAATATCAATTAACTGCAGAATTGATTTACACTCTTCCCTATATTCAGCATATCTCATAATTGTTTCAGTCGTAGATTACCACAGATTTGGTTAAACGATGCAATTAGATAGAAATCTATTCGCAGAGGAAATAAACTTTTCAAACTACGCCTTACATTATTTTTTTGTTTCTTCAACACAATATGTAAATCGTGTCACTGTAATGACCTGTCATATTTTCAATTATGAACAATAGGTAAATGATGAATTATTAAAATCGGAACTTACTCCATCTTTTGTACTCTTACTTATACTAGAATATTCGTGATGATTGTTTATTGTCCACCAGAAATTCTCCTTCAATTCCTGAATGCAACTTGGTGACTCTTCAACTGAAATAATTATTGAAATACATCAACATGTTGTTACACATACTTCAAGTTATAAACAGATAACTTTCAACAATATTAATCATAACCAATTGAAAGTGACACAACCCACTTCATTCTCAGATCGTATGGATCATAGTGTTCATAATTCGTCTACTGTATTTGAGTATTTTCCATAAATGGTACCGCTTGAAATGATAACACAATTTCATGACCTTCAACAATCTGACTGAAGCAAAAGACTTGATGCTTTAACAAATTTTACCATGCAACATGTTTGGATACATTGGGCTAGTTTATTTGCAAATTAGTTTACAGGCTGCTTGATCAGTTCTCTCAAATACTTTGTCTAGATTCGTTTTCCTGCTTTCATTCACATAAAGTCGACACATGCATTATTGGATGTATCATTACTTAATAAAACGTCATCTCTCTGAGATATATTCGATTATGTTTATTTGTCTTCCGTTCGTTTTAAAATCAGCTTACAATAAGTCAATAAATAATTATGTTTATATAACCAGTAATGGTACTCACCAATATCTGAAGGATAAAAGTCTTCAACATATTTCTTCAAGTAACGTCGCATTTTGTACAAGAAATCTATCACTAACATATTGTGTATATCTCTGCAAGAAACATTACAAACACCAAGTACTTCAGTCTTATACAATTAGCATTCAATTTAAGATCAACAGTATTTGTCGTTCGTGAAAGCAGATGTCGACAAATTTCAACATCTAACTTTAATAAACAGACGTGGTAAAGAATGCACACAATAAACATTATTCATATATTTTCTTGTCCGTATTTTCGTCTAATCGCTTTGATGAGAACTAAACTAACATAATAGTCACTTTTATACACAATACATATACAGTGATCAAAGTGATTTTATCCAGCTCATTTAACAACCTTATCATTTTCAACTAACTTCATTCATCCTGGACGTTATGAAACCAACCGTGATTAAAGATTGAGAGGATTTTGTGGATGATCGTTCGCTTTCAATTCACATGAAGATTGGATACGAACAAAATTATTGGTGTATAATGAAGTACATGTCAGATTGTAATCATGTTTTCTGATGAAAATAATATCGTTGTTCCGTTTTACACTTAAGATGTTTGTAAAGACTCGAATACCACCGGTTATAAACTTGATTTAAGTGACTAATGTGAATAAATCATTCTGTTATTAGGAATAGCTACATCAAACGGTATTTGTTATAATTAACACAGACAAATGTCTGAGGTTTTCATGCGACGGTCGCGCTGTCTAGTAAATTACTTAGAAAATCGTGAACACAAATGAGAACAAGAGAAAGCAAACAGGATGTGACAGCATGGTACTTATGAAACCAAATTGTTTCACAAATCACTAAACTCGACTTTGAGCAAATTACTTTCTTCCATTTTCTTTTGTAATTTTTGAAAAGAGAAAATTGCAAATCATCTGCAAAGCTTCTTTATGTGAGATATAAACTTCCAAATTTTTATAAGATTCATGCACGAATGCATTTTGAAATAAAACATTCCAATCGATCTGGTCAAAATAAAGAATTTGAAAATCATTTACAAATTTAAAGAGGCATCTCATGTAATTGAAGTTATTTTTAATAGAATAGTTTAATCACTGGTAGTATAACACACATGCATCCTACAATCGATCGTTATCTCAAACACCTGAAAATGTCGTACACACACTTGCAAAGCGTAATAATGTACATTGATTTCTTCAAGTTATTCCTGACGACAGTGAGTTAGCAAACTAATGCAAAATAGACCTCATTCTCAACTTACGATTGGACAGATATTCTTCAGATCATCAATATTGACACGTGTGTTTTCACTCGCGATTTTCTCCTGTACCTAATACAATATGTCCACACGATAGAAAATATCAGCTGTTTGATGAATAACATTCGAAGAAAATTAAACATCACAGTTAAGAATTGTGAACGATTTTAAAACTAGGTAAACTCTGATACACAGAGCTCGTTTGTTTGGACTGGTCCAAAGACCTGCAGTCAATATTCCAATTATTTTTACTGATCTAATTATGCAGTCGACGTTATACGACAGTGATCAGTGTTGTCAATTTCTCAGACGGCCTCGTGCTTTCAACACTACCAGTATTGGTTTAATCTACTTGACTATCGGAAATTTATGATCGTTTGTGAATACAATTACTGTTTTGTTATCGGCAAGCAACATAACTGTGTCGTTGCAAAGTAGGATATTGAGTGTTCATGTGTTCGTGTATTCATAGAAATTCTATATCAATAGTTCTATCTGATGATTACTGATAATACCCTCTATTTCATTGGCCAAATGCCACCGTTTTCCACCAACTGAATATTTGTTCTTCAAAATAACGACTGAGTTCACCTACTACTAGGTACTGTAAATAGTTTATGATACAAATGTGAATAAACCACATCATATCATTCTCGGTGTACTTACATTTTTTATTTTCGAGTAAATTTCAAAAACACCGTCCATCATATTTTTATTAGTTTGTAGAGCTCCTACGTTTTCAAAATATTTGAAAATTAATTCTTTGACTTCACTGTCCAATCGACCTGACTGTTGGCAATGAAAAGTGCAAGACAAATATTTTGTCATCATATACCACATGCACACAAAAGTTCATGATTTGTGGTTCAAATAAAAAGAATAAATTTCAAAGTTACACATTTGAATAAAAACGAAGATAATTTAACGAATGCCTTTAAGTACAACGCTTCATGCAGTGATAGTGTGATGGATTCAACTGTCTGTTCTTGTCTTATTAGTAACAGAGACTATGAAAAATAGATTGAGATGTTTCAGTATATCCTGTGCACATGTTCAACGCGACACATTACTATCCTGATGCCGAGATAAGGCATCATGCGTGTGATGAAGAACACCACGTATGGATGCTTCATAGCATAACATGGACCAGTGTAAGAGAACGTTAATGGACAGGTATTATTGTCTGCATGTGTTATTGAGAACTCAGTTACAGGTGGTAGCCTTCTCTCTCATAAGTTCACATAAAAACTATGGGGGTCTCAACCATTAAATGGACGTGAAGTCAGAACAGACATAGTTGGGTAAATAGAAGGCTAAAAACGTTCATGAAAGACGTCAGAAGACAGATGGGATCTGGTACAACTTCAGATCATCGCCTGGTTGTGGTCAAACAAAATATGATAATGAAGAATCACTGGAGAGTTGTATAGGTGGTACTTCAAACATTCAGTACATCCATCGTTGATTACGAGAAAGCATTCGATCGCATGCGCATGGAAACCTGATGAAACCTTCTTACGCACTATGGAGGTCAAGAGAAGATTGTCATCATCACAGGAAACGCGATCAACAGACTTTGTCGTGAAAATATGTATTGACAACACTTCACGGATCCATGCTAATTGAAGAACAGTTCCATAAAAATCTCACGATTCTCATCTCTTCTCTTTCGGCTAGCTGTTCTTTGGATTGTGAAGGCTTACACATCACACGATACGCAGTTTGATGATTTGGATTGACGAAGGTGAATCAATTCTCCTATCACATACACAGTGTGAAACCAACATACAGATGGCTATCAAAGAGTAGACCTCAACTTTCAAAAGTGAGGAAATGAGATCATGAAATGAAACACATTGAAAAGCGACCAAGTCACAATTTATGACGGAGCTGTGGACGAGATAAAATACTTGCATCAACGAGGGACGAACAAGCAGGCCAAGGAAAAAGTTCCTGGGATTGAGGTTGACCTAAAACTCAAAGGAACTGTAACTCGTGACCGAAAATGGAAGTTTCAACATTAATTTCACAGTGATTTGATTGTGAGAATCAGAAACTCGGATAACTTACAACGCCATAAGCATAAGTGCGTATGTATATAAATAAACAACAGCCTATTCAAAATACTCCTAATCCATTGACCGTAAATCATCAGAAATCACCTACTCTGATAGACAAAAGACAATTTATCAGTTGATTAGAAAATTACGAAAACATACATAATAGACATTATAGGACACTTTACTGAAAGTCGTTAAAGCAAAATGAAAAAATAACACCAAAATACATCCACTATAGCAAAATACATACAGATATCAACATCGTGAATAACACTCGGTATCACCTCGAACCAACATCAAAGTAGAAATTTGACTGGATATCTTCAGTTTGTGACCAATATCAAATAACGATCACTCGATTTACCAAACGTCACTTTATTGACATTCAAAGCTCTAGACTTTGTTAGTCGAATCTGCTTTCATAGACCCATAAAGATGTTTACTGAATTTTTTCTTGTTCGATTTACGAATCTCAACTAGTGAATGTATCAAATCGTCGCAATGATCTACGTACTTGTCAAGTTCGACTTTCCTCATTCTGTTTACTAGTGTATGTACTCTCGTGCACTTCCCATTATTCGTTCAAATAAGCCTAAAGAACCGCCTTGTATGATGCTTATCGCAACTAGGAACAAAAAAATTATGACCAAATAAGGGTTTTATGGATATTATGGTAATTTGATGGTTGATTCCAAGAGCGATAGATCTTGTGATCGAATCACGCGGGTGAGTTTGAAGACGCGCGTTGCTGAGAAGTCCCATTCTAGAAAGAAACGACCGTCCACTGTTTCCAGCGTTTCATTAGTGGTCTAGCTTCGATTGACTCGCGACTTCAACTATTAAAATATTAGAATTAAACGAATAATAGAATTTTCTTAATCACCGCAATAAAAATAATTATATCGGAATGTTTGTTTCATCGTACCATGTTTAATTTCTCCCTGTCAAACGCATCAAGCGATCCTGGTTCAATCTAGAAGGATAAAGTTACATTCACGTTTAGAAAGAGTGAAAGTGAAAAGTCTCATAAACACAAGTTAGTGTCAGAAGCCATCAAGTCGTCATTTACAAAATATTTCATTCAATGGATGCTATGCAGTTGTATGACAGCTCTATCCTTACGTTACGAAGAGGATAAACATGTCTGATTTGCTTAATTAGATGACGTCATTTGCACAATAAAATGGTGTTTCATTATCGAACAAAGATTAACCGATTTTAAATATCAGCAAACAAATTTCGTTTTGTAACTGCACATGCCCATGTGACCGTCTCATCCAACTCAGTGAAAATAAGGAATTGAACGAAGTAATTGGACGTAAACGAGTCAGTGACAGTTATTTGTACTGAGTTCGTTCATCACGAATTATCTAAATCTCAGTTGTGTCTAGCGACACAAGCTGAATAAACTGATAGAAACAACCGACAGAATAAAGTTGAACTCCTTTAAAAACCTAAATTTTGCTGAGACATAGAACGATGAGGAAATATGCCAAATTAGACTGTAGGACAAACCATTAGAAGAATGTACTGAGGTTTATGTGTATATGACAGTACTGTAGCCAAACTCGTTAATTGACTGAATGAGACGCTGTTCAATGAAATTTCTGGATCGCTCAATATCTATTCAATGTCTACTTACATACGCGATAACCTGTTCAGTCATTTTAGGGGGTTTTCGAACGAATTTAAGATCGCTAGCATTCTTAGTCGAGAAAAGCATCTAAACTATGTATCTGGAAGTACATCATGCATGAAAATAATCGAAAACATGTAGTGTTTGAAATCTTACATAAATAATTGAATTATCTCCTGTTGAATAATCTCCGATTATTTTCAAGGAAAAAAAAGTGGTTCTTCCACTTTGAAATATCAATGGTAAAATTGAAGCGGTCAGATTGAATTTCGAACTTCTAAAAACATTTTCTATGAGATTGTAGTGCTGTGTGTCATCTGATGACATCAGCCATCCACCGAAAAATACTTCTATCAGATTAATAACTTTTGTAATAATGAACTCGTTTTTCATCGAGAGGGCTTCGGTGCATGTTTTGTAGAACATTTTAGCTGCTTTAATATTCGGTACATCCTGATATTCTGTTATTTCTACTAAAAGCGAAAGAAATTCATTAATTGAGAATGTTATATGGGTTTTAGTGACGGTTGTCTTTTTGCTACACATTTACATTGATGGTATTACATGATGGTTTGTTTTAAACTGCTCCATACAAACATGTCTAAGACTTTCGATTCCAATGATTATCTGGTTCTATTTCATACATCAGTCATCTAGTTTATACATGCAAATGGGAACGCTGAATTCAGTTGGTGAAATCCAGTCATACAAATCTGAGCAGTACATTATTGTAATTTTATTATGTTGACCAGTACTATTCGTTTGCTAACATTCTATTCGATGTTCAATATCTATCATATTTTTTAGACAGAAAGGAGTGTATTTATTTCGAAGGCCAGTATATACCTCATAGATAATGGTTTACTCACAATAAGAAAGACTTCCAACTACCTCGTTTTTCAACAACATAATAATATTCACAATGAAAAAAAAAAACAGAATGAAAGCAAAGACGTGTTTGTTTGAATTGTTGGGCTTGATTTTGATTGCAATTGTGCATAAAACGTTAATAATACATGAAACGTGAGGTGAAATATTGGATGTATAACGATTTGAACGGTGATAACCCACATTGATTCATTACAGCGCATCGTGCTATTAAAACTATAAATTATGACCCTCATGGTAGCATTGCTTTTCTGGTCATTATTTTCATTCAAGCGTACAGACTCATTTCAAAAACTCTGTTCAATAATGTTAGGATCCAGTTTTCCTAAATTCCTTCTACCATGAGTTCAGTACAAGAGTTGAAGATCAGCAAGTCAAAATGCAAGTATGACAACATCTAGATTTTTAGTCATGAAAACTAGTTGCTTCGGCCTCACTTCTCTAATTCGTTGTACTCAACACGATCCTTCACGATGAAGTAGTAATCAGAAATAGCGTTCATTTTTAAATTTAAGTAAATGTACCGAGATGTGTAATATTAAACATGTTCTGCTTATGAACTGACAATTTTTAAACAACAACCATAATAAATGTACAAACAAAAAAGCATACGGAGCAATAAAAACCGACACATTCTACATCAATATTGAAATGTTTTAACCAAAACAAGTTTCAACAAATGGAATCACTAGAAAAAAACTCACACATTTTCATGATGATATCGTCTACATTAACAGGATGATCAGTTTTAATGTATTTGTCACATGTGTTTTTCTCATGATCATCACAGATTGTGTCGATACTATCGTCTGTGATATTGGTTGAACAATTATTAGAAATGCAGAGTTTACCTATGTACCAGAAAAAACAAAACAAATATCAGTAGGCGAAACTAAATCGTACTGACAATCAAAAAGGTTGTTGAAAAAACGTAGTAGCAAAAATACATACTTAAAATAATAAACAAAGTTAGGTCTAGTGACGAAGGTACAAAACTCTAAAAAATGAGAATAAAAAAAATGAAGTTTGAATATACAAGAAAATATCGTAATCATCAATAAAATAAACACCAAACTAACCGGAAACATAAAAGAGAGCGAAATCAAGAACGAATCAGTAGACCGCGAGCAAATACAGTAGTAGCGTTGACTTGAAGTACATAAAAATATCACTGTTCCATGTGTGGTAATGGATGAAAGTAGTGGCAACATATCTGAGAATGATAATTTTTGGAACAATGCTTGCGCATTTGAGAGTTACCTTAATATTGTGAAGTCGATTAGTTCACATACAACCACCACCAAACCATCATAGTTGACGGGAACTAATGTCAATAAACCACACATAGTAAGACGGAAACATCACGATGACAGATATGTCGGCGTGTATCGAATCATTTGTCATCCACTCGGATAATCAAAGTGTAAATATTAGGGGTAAAGCTCTGAAAAATCCATTTCACACGCTTACCTGTTTCCGTTTGTTGTTCAACTCCAGATGAAGTTTCAATTGTGAGTGGTGACGAGGCTTGTTCTGTGAAGGAAATGTGAATGAGGTATAAACAAATAATGAGTCCATTTACAGAGAGGTGACACAGACACATCGTTCGAACCCTCATCATCATGCATGAAGTTGTGCGTCAGTTATGTTTGCTGTCAATCATCAACAAGCATAACCATGAGAAGCCAATTACGAATATAATTGAAGAGTGAGGTTTGTTGGAAATCGAGTGAACCTAGTCACTTGAAGCACGCTTACAGAAACAGTGCAAGTTGACAAGGACCAAAACATACCATGCACAAAGCAACATTGATAAATATTTCGTTGGATCCTATGCAATTCATGCCAGTCTATGTTTACCGAGTTAAGCGTGAACAGTGCGAGCATTGAAAATACCGGCATCTCTGAGCGTTTGAAAGAACACATCAAATTAGACTAATCAACAACTGCTAATTACTGATATCAACAGTTCAGTTGAAGCACCAACTCTTCTTCACTTCTGTTGAACAAATTTGAGAATGCTAAATTGAAAACACGAGTGAAGCAAATGCCGTGCCGCATAACATAGTTCACTCTATCAACACCAGAAACCAATGTGCCACTTCACGACTGGTTCAGTAGACTGGGAGATAACATAGTGGGCGTGTTGATGTGAAGTTAATAAACATTTCACTGTTCCATGTGTAGTAATGGATGAAAGTAGTGGCAACATATCTGAGAATGATTATTTTTGGAACAATGCTTGCGCATTTGAGAGTTACCTTAATATTGTGAAGTCGATTAGTTCACATACAACCACCACCAAACCATCATAGTTGACGGGAACTAATGTCAATAAACCACACATAGTAAGACGGAAACATCACGATGACAGATATGTCGGCGTGTATCGAATCATTTGTCATCCACTCGGATAATCAAAGTGTAAATATTAGGGGTAAAGCTCTGAAAAATCCATTTCACACGCTTGCCTGTTTCCGTTTGTTGTTCAACTCCAGATGAAGTTTCAATTGTGACTGGTGACGAGGCTTGTTCTGTGAAGGAAATGTGAATGAGGTATAAACAAATAATGAGTCCATTTACAGAGAGGTGACACAGACACATCGTTCGAACCCTCATCATCATGCATGAAGTTGTGCGTCAGTTATGTTTGCTGTCAATCATCAACAAGCATAACCATGTGAAGCCAATTACGAATATAATTGAAGAGTGAGGTTTGTTGGAAATCGAGTGAACCTAGTCACTTGAAGCACGCTTACAGAAACAGTGCAAGTTGACAAGGACCAAAACATACCATGCACAAAGCAACATTGATAAATATTTCGTTGGATCCTATGCAATTCATGCCAGTCTATGTTTACCGAGTTAAGCGTGAACAGTGCGAGCATTGAAAATACCGGCATCTCTGAGCGTTTGAAAGAACACATCAAATTAGACTAATCAACAACTGCTAATTACTGATATCAACAGTTCAGTTGAAGCACCAACTCTTCTTCACTTCTGTTGAACAAATTTGAGAATGCTAAATTGAAAACACGAGTGAAGCAAATGCCGTGCCGCATAACATAGTTCACTCTATCAACACCAGAAACCAATGTGCCACTTCACGACTGGTTCAGTAGACTGGGAGATAACATAGTGGGCGTGTTGATGTGAAGTTAATAAACATTTCACTGTTCCATGTGTAGTAATGGATGAAAGTAGTGGCAACATATCTGAGAATGATTATTTTTGGAACAATGCTTGCGCATTTGAGAGTTACCTTAATATTGTGAAGTCGATTAGTTCACATACAACCACCACCAAACCATCATAGTTGACGGGAACTAATGTCAATAAACCACACATAGTAAGACGGAAACATCACGATGACAGATATGTCGGCGTGTATCGAATCATTTGTCATCCACTCGGATAATCAAAGTGTAAATATTAGGGGTAAAGCTCTGAAAAATCCATTTCACACGCTTACCTGTTTCCGTTTGTTGTTCAACTCCAGATGAAGTTTCAATTGTGAGTGGTGACGAGGCTTGTTCTGTGAAGGAAATGTGAATGAGGTATAAACAAATAATGAGTCCATTTACAGAGAGGTGACACAGACACATCGTTCGAACCCTCATCATCATGCATGAAGTTGTGCGTCAGTTATGTTTGCTGTCAATCATCAACAAGCATAACCATGAGAAGCCAATTACGAATATAATTGAAGAGTGAGGTTTGTTGGAAATCGAGTGAACCTAGTCACTTGAAGCACGCTTACAGAAACAGTGCAAGTTGACAAGGACCAAAACATACCATGCACAAAGCAACATTGATAAATATTTCGTTGGATCCTATGCAATTCATGCCAGTGTATGTTTACCGAGTTAAGCGTGAACAGTGCGAGCATTGAAAATACCGGCATCTCTGAGCGTTTGAAAGAACACATCAAATTAGACTAATCAACAACTGCTAATTACTGATATCAACAGTTCAGTTGAAGCATCAGCTCTTCTTCACTTCTGTTGAACAAATTTGAGAATGCTAAATTGAAAACACGAGTGAAGCAAATGCCGTGCCGCATAACATAGTTCACTCTATCAACACCAGAAACCAATGTGCCACTTCACGACTGGTTCAGTAGACTGGGAGATAACATAGTGGGCGTGTTGATGTGAAGTTAATAAACATTTCACTGTTCCATGTGTAGTAATGGATGAAAGTAGTGGCAACATATCTGAGAATGATTATTTTTGGAACAATGCTTGCGCATTTGAGAGTTACCTTAATATTGTGAAGTCGATTAGTTCACATACAACCACCACCAAACCATCATAGTTGACGGGAACTAATGTCAATAAACCACACATAGTAAGACGGAAACATCACGATGACAGATATGTCGGCGTGTATCGAATCATTTGTCATCCACTCGGATAATCAAAGTGTAAATATTAGGGGTAAAGCTCTGAAAAATCCATTTCACACGCTTACCTGTTTCCGTTTGTTGTTCAACTCGAGATGAAGTTTCAATTGTGACTGGTGACGAGGCTTGTTCTGTGAAGGAAATGTGAATGAGGTATAAACAAATAATGAGTCCATTTACAGAGAGGTGACACAGACACATCGTTCGAACCCTCATCATCATGCATGAAGTTGTGCGTCAGTTATGTTTGCTGTCAATCATCAACAAGCATAACCATGTGAAGCCAATTACGAATATAATTGAAGAGTGAGGTTTGTTGGAAATCGAGTGAACCTAGTCACTTGAAGCACGCTTACAGAAACAGTGCAAGTTGACAAGGACCAAAACATACCATGCACAAAGCAACATTGATAAATATTTCGTTGGATCCTATGCAATTCATGCCAGTCTATGTTTACCGAGTTAAGCGTGAACAGTGCGAGCATTGAAAATACCGGCATCTCTGAGCGTTTGAAAGAACACATCAAATTAGACTAATCAACAACTGCTAATTACTGATATCAACAGTTCAGTTGAAGCATCAGCTCTTCTTCACTTCTGTTGAACAAGTTTGAGAATGCTAAATTGAAAACACGAGTGAAGCAAATGCCGTGCCGCATAACATAGTTCACTCTATCAACACCAGAAACCAATGTGCCACTTCACGACTGGTTCAGTAGACTGGGAGATAACATAGTGGGCGTGTTGATGTGAAGTTAATAAACATTTCACTGTTCCATGTGTAGTAATGGATGAAAGTAGTGGCAACATATCTGAGAATGATTATTTTTGGAACAATGCTTGCGCATTTGAGAGTTACCTTAATATTGTGAAGTCGATTAGTTCACATACAACCACCACCAAACCATCATAGTTGACGGGAACTAATGTCAATAAACCACACATAGTAAGACGGAAACATCACGATGACAGATATGTCGGCGTGTATCGAATCATTTGTCATCCACTCGGATAATCAAAGTGTAAATATTAGGGGTAAAGCTCTGAAAAATCCATTTCACACGCTTACCTGTTTCCGTTTGTTGTTCAACTCCAGATGAAGTTTCAATTGTGACTGGTGACGAGGCTTGTTCTGTGAAGGAAATGTGAATGAGGTATAAACAAATAATGAGTCCATTTACAGAGAGGTGACACAGACACATCGTTCGAACCCTCATCATCATGCATGAAGTTGTGCGTCAGTTATGTTTGCTGTCAATCATCAACAAGCATAACCATGAGAAGCCAATTACGAATATAATTGAAGAGTGAGGTTTGTTGGAAATCGAGTGAACCTAGTCACTTGAAGCACGCTTACAGAAACAGTGCAAGTTGACAAGGACCAAAACATACCATGCACAAAGCAACATTGATAAATATTTCGTTGGATCCTATGCAATTCATGCCAGTCTATGTTTACCGAGTTAAGCGTGAACAGTGCGAGCATTGAAAATACCGGCATCTCTGAGCGTTTGAAAGAACACCTCAAATTAGACTAATCAACAACTGCTAATTACTGATATCAACAGTTCAGTTGAAGCACCAACTCTTCTTCACTTCTGTTGAACAAATTTGAGAATGCTAAATTGAAAACACGAGTGAAGCAAATGCCGTGCCGCATAACATAGTTCACTCTATCAACACCAGAAACCAATGTGCCACTTCACGACTGGTTCAGTAGACTGGGAGATAACATAGTGGGCGTGTTGATGTGAAGTTAATAAACATTTCACTGTTCCATGTGTAGTAATGGATGAAAGTAGTGGCAACATATGTGAGTATGATATCTTTTTTATTTCTGCTAACTTTAGTCATTTTTACATTCTTGTGCGTTTTTTCATTATACGGAAACCGAAATAGGATTATATATTTTATTTATCTTATTTAGATTATTTTTATTTCACGGTTTTCTCTGATTTTTATCGAAATCCCATAGTACTTGTTTTATTTTGCAGCTTTCCGTAATTGGTTCATCATCTAATGGTGTTATGAAATTTCATTATTTACATTTATTTTCTTTTTCTATTGCTACGTTTCTGTTAGTGACTTCGAAATTACATGTTATTAGTTATTTCGCTGTGGCAATGGATATTTGCCAAGACATTAATACACTGTGTTATGAAAATAAACGCATATTACGTGATTGACTCATTGTTAAGTAAGATAGATTCTCACGGACAAATATATGCCAAACAACGTTTTTCAATCTCATTCTTACTCATTATATGAATCCTACCGAATCGTATTTAAACATTTTGCCTCTTATAGTTCTCGTTTATTAAATAGTCAAGGTTTGTGTACAATATATGCATATATAATGAGAGTATTATTGTCTATGGTCTTCGTGTTTCATAGTTGATATATCCCCACCTGATCTTAATTCACCTTGCGGTTATTCGTTTTCCGATTAAGACTACTAAACGACTTGAACGTACCGATTTGTTTCAATTCAATCAATCTGTTATTCAGCATACGTTTACAGTGTAGCTGTCGCTACTTAGTTCTAAATAGTCGGTGGAAATTCCTGAATGAACGTTCTTTCTTTACTGGACACCATTATTGCGTTTGAAACGTATTCTAACAAAAGGACATGTGTTGTGAGCATGTCGAAGGGCATGTCTACTTTGATTTCCGCTTCGTCAGTCAAAACGGAGAATCATAGTTTTCTAAAATCGAAACCCGAACATTCGTGTAAGTACTGATTGCTCTCAAATTCATGGACCATGTGAGCCAAAAGATAACCTCACAATCGAATATTATAACACTTCCTAATAAAACGTGACAATGTAATCGAGGAAGTTCAACCTAGTTCAACAAACTCTGTTAGCTAGATCTTCGAATATACATGAAACATGCATTAAGAGGAAGCAAATATCTCCATAATAAACTAATGCCTAACGACACAATCAAAATTATTCTCACATAAAATGTCATGTCATCAAATAGCTAACAAAACTAAGGACATAATTAAATAACAAAATGAATATGTGTGTAAACATACCATTAGAAGTTCTGTTGAAGAAATGTACGAGCAGTGCCATTCCAAAAACCGCTGCACATGCTACACTAATTACAAGAATAAGAATTTTCTGCCTTTTGAATAATTGTGGAGGCAACATATTCCTCCAGTTGAATGAAAGATGCCAACTAATCCTGTCAATATAAGCTGCTTATATACAAAATTAACATAAAAACATATGTAAACATTTATCCAATAATAATAACTACATAAAATTTAAATGTGGCATGTGTGATCTATTTCTCACGCCAAACTACACTTGATTATTCATTCATATTATATTCTGTCTCCATCTGTGCTATATGTTTGTTTGTTTGTTACCGTTAAATTCCTGTTCTCTGAGTCTAATTAATGAATGGAATGTGAACAATCCATCACATTTAGTGCCAAATGTTTGTTTCAATCTAACTTATTTGAAATGCACACTTTGATGTTAACTGGAAGTTTTGTATCTCTATATAGCTCAAAAGTCGGATTCAACATTAATACTGCTTAGCACATCCTATCTATTGAGATGGCGTTTGAGAAAGGTCAACAGTGCTTCCAGTCGAGGATTGTGTGTATGTGCGAATTTTCATAGGTATGTAACACGAAGAAAGGTGGGCCGACGGCTCAGTAAGCACACAGGACGCACTTATATTTGATAAGGAAGACAATCGATCACCAACAGAATTCACAGATGTTTGAGATTAGTGCGAACCATTATTGAAAACAGAATTTTGAAACCTTTAGGTTCTGAATGTATCTTACTTATGTAGAGCTTTGGATCTAACCGGTTGGCGTATTGTGTGTTGTGTGCACTAATTGACTGAGGTGCGCGAAGAAAGTTAGATGAGAGGACAAAATGAAAGATGCGCTAAAGACTCAATAAGCAAAAACGCTCCACGCATACCTAATACTGAAAGTGAAATACAACAAACAACAATAGAACTAGCCTCAGACTGTCTTCGGAATGCCCTGATATGGCCGAGAATAGGGATGATCAGCTAACCCTCTCGAAAGGCTTTCCTGCTTATGAGCACTCGGTTTCTTCTGGCTTCTTACAACTCGTCGAAGTTCGTTTGTCTACTCCAGATGACCCTGAGTTTGACCAGAAGCGACGGCTGTTATGTAATGAAATTCGAAAGAGCTTGCGTATAGACCAAGAAGCCTGTTGGTCGTAGCGTGTTTGGATGTTCTGGAAAATATCACAAAAACAATTATCCGGGTAAGTCTAATGCTACCCTTGAATGGTAAATGGTGTCATTTTCCTATTGTTCGTTTCCCCACTGATCAATATTTATTTCGCGTGTCATTTTCCTATTAGTCAACATTTATTCACGTGTCATTTTTCGGTTGGTCAATATTTATAGTAATCCTAACTGTATGAATATGCATTTGTTTGTAAATAATTATTCTGCCCCTGACCCCATAAAGAATTTTTCATCTACGGTTCGTTTTCTGATGGATTAGATATTGGGTAACAGCATTGGAGTCGTACTGAGGTATCTGAAGCTGGTCAATCTGTAGAAATTAGATTAGCCACCTCGCGATTCACAATAATTTTGCGACAAGGTTGGGATAGCAAACAAGTTGGTGACTAACTATGGATCCAGCCAAATTAGAAAAATTGCTCGAACAGCAGCTGAAGCTGATGGAGATAATCAATTAGACGCGTATAACTTCTGGAGTCTCAAATAAACCGACAATTCCTTAGTCAGTTGATTGTATTACCAGTGGTGTTTCAGAATGTTTTATGATCCTGATGCCAATAATACATTTGACACATTGTTCAGGCGTTACGAAGGTCTTTTCAAAGTTGACTTTGCTGACAGAGATGATTCGTGGAAGATGCGTCTTTTTATTTGGAAACTTGGTCCATCCGTGCTGATTAAGTATTGCGACTTCATTCTACCGCAGAACCCACGCCACCGTTCCTTCCACGTCACTATTCAGTCACTTAGCCAACTTTTTGGTGATCATCATTCATTCTTCAGTACTCAATATCGCTGCTTAAAACTAGTCATGAATGAGTCTGATGACTTTTTGACCCACGTCAGCGTTGGTTACCGTGAGTGCGAACGGCTCAAGCTGAGATATCTCACTGAAGACCAATTCAAGTCCCTAATACTCACATGCAGTCTCCAGTCACCCGAATTCTCCGACATCAAAACTCGGTTGCTTAAACGCTTGAAATAAGATCTCACCCCATCACCAACTGTTGTATTGAGTCGTCCCAATTGTTGTGCCGTAAAAAACTGCCGAGTGGTGATATGCAACAACTAGCGAAACGTCGAAGCACTCTCTGTATTGTTAGAGATTGTCTGATGTTCGGTGATCGCGTAGTAATTCCAACAACCCTACGTTCCAAGGTTCTACGCCAATTCCACTCTAGACATTCAGGGATAAACCGTATGAAATCCATTGCTCGCAGCTATGCATATTGGCAGAATATGGACAAGCAGATTATCGACTTCTTCAAAAGACTTTCACGTTGTCAAAAAGCTACGAAAAATGCTCCCAAGTTACAATTAATTTGAATTTATTTAAAACATATTTGACGCACTGAGCAGAGAATCCACTGAAAGTGACTGAGTGGTGAGGCCGAACGACGCCTCATATTGGGTCATAGAAGTTTGATTCTTCGGAAATATTGTGATCAAATTTATTGGGAACACTACAAGTAAATAGTGGATCACAATGATAACCAGCGTCCAACAAAACTGCACCATGTTCTTGATTATCGTCCGATGCACATGACACATTTTCTGGCAAAACAAGTGAATCTCGACAATTAGATTTGTCAGGAACTTCTATCGCAGAATAATGAGCTCCATTTGATGCAGCTGCAGGGAATCGCAGGGTTCCTTCGTTTCTAGTTTAAGTGATCAGCGTTTTTTCGGCATAACAGAGCTTGCCAAACAGCAAGAAATAAGAGCTTCATCTAGTAACTAACGGAAGCTCTTCCAAATGGTCCGAGTCGATAGCAGTAAAACGTCTGTCGTTAGAGAAACAATCTGTGAAGATGACGGAATGCTAATCACTAACATCTATCGTCGTCTTGGATAGGGTACAGAACGTTTGGAGGAGCAGCTCAACCGGTCTGCTGTCCTATCAATATCGATCACGCTGTCCCGCCCTCCAAGGCATGTAACGACCGATCCAACAAAATGGAAAACGTAGAAAATGAGACGTCGCCAACTATACTCTCTGTAGATTGTAGTTTTTGGAAGAGAGATTTTATGATGTATGTATGAACTAATGATCCCTTCGTACTTGATAACCGCACAATATCTAATTCCATATCCAGCAATTAAGTTTGTGCTCATCTAGTTCATCCCTGTCTAAAACAGCTATTTTTGAGAATAACTTTAGAGGATTTTTTGGAAAGGTTTGAAATTCGGATTATGACCGAAAAAATATTGAGGACAATAAATTTGTGGTGTATTTCTTCGCATCCATCGAAAGAGAAAACTACAGATTATAAAAATCTTTGATATTTCGAGAGGCGCCCTTTTTCGAATTCTTATGCAACACTCAAAACTCCGTCTGTAGCTCTTTTACAGTTACTGCCGGTCCCAAGCCTTTGTAAAGGAGGAGGGCTGGGCATGGAGTTAGCGACTCATCCCGTAGAAGACTAACTCGCTAAAAAACACTATCCAGAAAAAATAGTTCAAACCATGTAAACTCTGCCCTGAGAAATGGAAGGTCTTCATTCACAAGAACTATGTTGCCTCATGGTGAAATCCGAGTTTCTTCGGAAGTCACGAGAGTTGAACCCCTTCTAACAACCAAAGCAACAATTTTTATAGGTGCGTGGAACTTCCGAATAATGTGGGAGTCCGGAAAGACCAGTCAAATAGCAACGAAAATGAGGAGATACAACTTGGTAGTACTGGGAATTAGCGAAACCCATTGGATCCATGCTGAACAACAAAAGCTAAATACAAAAGAATTGCTTATATGCTCCGGACACGAACAGGAAAATGCTCCACACACTCAGGGGGTCTTTCTGATGCTGTCCAAAGTAGCACGAAATGCACTTGTAGGATGGGAATCTTACGGATCCAGAATCATCAAAGCATCATTCAAAACAAAGAAGGAGGGGATCACAATGAATATTATCCAATATTGTGCACCCACCAATGATAGCAACTACGATAATAAAGATCGATTCTACGAGAGGCTACAATCAATCATAGAGAAATCCCCAAGAAAGAACCTCACCATTCTAATGGGAGATTTAAATGCCAAAGTCGAGATAGACAACAACGGATATGAAGATATTATGTGACGACATGGACTGGGACAGTGAAATGAAAATGGAGAAAGATTTGCAAATCTATGTGCATTCAACAAATTGGTCATAGGATGCACAATATTTCCACACAAGCGTATACACAGGTCTACATGGATCTCACCGGACTACATTACAGAGAACCAGATAGATCATATCTGCATCAACAAAACATTCCGAAGGACAATGGAAGATGTGAGAACCAGGAGAGGAGCTGACATAGCTTCAGATCATCACCTAGTTGTAGCCAATTTAAAAATGAATCTAAAAAAGAACTGGACAAGTGGACAAACAGCAATACAAAGGTTCAATACAGCCTTCCTTCGAGATACTGACAAACTCAATGAATTCAAGATAGCTCTCAACAACAGGTTCCAAGCCTTACAAGATCTACTGAAAGGAGAAACTACTATGGAGGATAACTGGAAAAGTATCAAAGAAACATTAACTTCAACGTGTCAAGAGGTTCTGGGTCTAAAGAAATACCATCATAAGGAATGGATCTCCATAGAAACACTGGACAAGATCAAAGAAAGGAAGAACAAGAAGGCAGCAATAAACAACAGCCGAACACGAGCAGAGAAAGTCCAAGCACAAGCTGAATACACAGAAGCAAACAAGCAAGTGAAGAGGAGCATTAGAGCCGACAAGAAGAAATACGTGAAAGAACTAGCAACGACGGCGGAAAAAGCTGCTAGTGAAGGAAATATGAAACAGCTTTACGATACAACGAAGAAACTATCAGG